TGACAGATAATGACATTGTACTTAATGATCTTATAGGACAAATGTTTTTACATTTCAGTATGGAAACCTCCCCCTCTTAGTGCAGGAAGGAGCTGAGAGGAGCAGGCACATCATGTATAACATTCACTGGACGAGTGCAGTTTGGTTTTTCTTCAAATAACAGCATTTAATAAATAATTTAATGTTTCGTTTTCTTCTACTGAAACCGTTTCATTGTCTGTTTCTATTGCTGCAGTTCAACATACCGTTAAAAAAAAAAAAAAAAGAAACTGGTCAGATTTTGATCAGTTTTCAACTGAAACTCAGTAGTAGAAGGATGAGATTAAACCAGCATACCAACAATGTTACACAGCAAGAAACTTTCACCTTTGTTTAAGGCAGAGTCAGTGATCCTATGACGCTTTCATTTACAACAAAAAAAGCTTAAACTGTAGTGTAACTGAAGTGTGGCCTCGAAAAACATGCGGAATAAGGAAAAAATTACCTTCTCCTAATATTGAACAGAGTTGGTCCATTGTTTGTTTTAGAAGTGCTTTAGTGTGCACGATTAAAAACAATACAGAGCTCAGTGTGGTGAAAATGGTGTAGGGACGTGTAACAGTCAAAATATAGCAGAATTGTCCTTTAAGTATTTATACAGCAGTGCTGAATCAGAAAAAGGAATATGATGAAGATTTGGTCAAGTAAAAAACGATGATAAGGCTTCATGTGATGATTCTGCAGAGCAACGTTTCTTCTCATCCCTGAAGTCTCTGCCATCATGTGAGAGTTTTGCGCTCGGTGCGAGGAATCCTCCTGTGTGTGGTGATTCTCCACAGCAGCGGCGCCAGCAGCAAACTGAGAGTGGTGACACTGAGCACCAGCAGGTACACCTGAGCAGAGACATGCAGGGTTCAGGTGACATAATCACTTTTAATGTCCTAGAATGATTGATACAGAATCGAACACAGAAAAGACAAATCTGTCCTCCTTTTAATTCCTATCAAATGTCAAGATCGTCTAAAAGTTCTGCTTTTAGTCCATTTTATTAAGTTCAGGTTAATATATTGTACCAGGAAGTGATTATATATAACTGTGCTACTTTACAACTCATAAAGATATATTTACTGGCTTGGAATAATCAAGCGATTTAAAATTAAACTTGTGCTTTTAGAACTAGCAGCTCATTCCTGAACACATTTTATTAAGTTTTGCGTTTGTGAATTCTGCACGATCACAAAGATCACATGTTCAACTAACAGTCACATTAAAAAACTCCACAGATTCACGTTCATGTCTAATCACTAAACTAAACACTGAACTAAATTAGAAAAGAATAAACCAACTCAAACTTTCTTAATAATTCCAACATGATTGAGGCTTTTAAATGAAAAGTTATTGAATACTGATAAGGTATATAATGCCTTTGAATAAACAATAAAACATACCTCTATTCCAATATGCAGAAAAACCAAGAGAAGCTCTAAAACCCTTAGGTTTTTGGTAAAACAGTTTTATTATTGTTTAAAAAAGGATAGAGATCAGAAGACTCAGAGCGGTAATAATATTGTAAAAGGTGCCAACACCTTTAACAAGCTCATCACTGACCTCTCTGGAGATGATACCAGCCCGACGTGCGCGGCTGCCCAAAACAAAGGAGAACTCGCTGACCTGAGCCAGACCAGCTGAGACGATCCACCGAATGTGTCGAGAACCCGGAGGCAGGATGGTGGACAGAACCAGCACCGCCATTACAAACTGGGAACATAAGAGAAGTCAGAAGGAGAAACTTTGATTGCAACGAGAAAATAATAGAGGAAAAACAAACAGAGGATGATATAAACCTTCATGATGACCAGTGTAAGTGTGAGCACAAGCAGGATGGTGAGCTCATACAACACAAACGTGGGGAAGACGTGAAGACCTGCAGCGCCACGTAGACGAAAAGGTCGAGTCAGTGTGAACAACATAAAAAAAAAGCTTCAAAGCTACGTCCTTGTGTTCCGCCTTACCAATAGAGGCGAAGAAGATGATGGCGAGGAAGTCTCTGATTGGCTCGATGCAGCCCATGACCTCGGCTGTGACCATGTGACCCTGCGATGACAGCAAAGCTCCTGCTAAGAAACAGCCCAGCTCCATGGAGACATCCAGGAACTCTGTCACCTATAATAAAAAAAATACTTTCTTTTTTATTTCAAACTAAAGAAACTGCAGAAGAAATCCCAGAAAATGTTTCTTATTTTACCGTCAGCATGAAAAACACAAAAGCTGCCATCCCCAGCACCAGGATCTCCTTGTTGCCTTTGCTCTCGGCGTGAAGCTTCTTGTAAAATGGACCAATTAGGAAGGATCTGAGCAGCAGGCAGAGCAGCAGCACGGCGCCCAACGACACCAGAACCTGTGTCAGAAGCTTCAGCACTCGCAGACCTCCATACAGCAAGCTAGTTTGAACAGAATTAAAAAGTTGCAAAAATTTTCTGAGAGGGAGGAACATATGAGGAAGAAAAGACAAAAAATGTGAAATGTTACCTGTCCAAGTCTCCGCTCTGTGCCTGGATCAGAGTGGGCATGACAGCAATGAAGAGCCCGAGTTGAACGTCCTGCATCACCAGCATCCCCAGCAGAACGCTGCTGTAATCCAGCTCCCCTACAAACACGTGCAGCACTCTTTAAAAACTATTAAATCAGATGTTAATCTGAGGGAAATGCATCCTGTTCTCTCCATCTAAAAGATGACTGCCAGTTTCAGAACACCCACATTTCCTCATACCTTCCCTTTCCACCCTGCTTCCTCCTGCCAGGAAGCGCGACACGAGTGGAGTGCTGGACAGGGACAGACAGGTGGAAACGAAGACCGTCTGAGTGGGTCGAATATGAAGAAGCTGGCCCCATAACAAGCCGGCCCCTACCATCAGCAGACTCAGGTAGCACGACCCCTGAACCGAGGTTTTCCATACCTGAGCACACAGAGCGCACAGCCAGGTTTACAAATGTCATCTTTTTTCAAACAACAACACTGGACAATTGCCACTGAGCTTCACTTCTTTTAAAGAACCTTTTTAAATAAATTTCTCTCAACTTAGTTAATAAGTACTGTAGGGGGTTCATTTCTTTGTTACAACCTTAAACATATTATTTTTCTTGAACTGGGAATGTAGTTAATAAAAGGATTGATTTCACTAAATGCAAAGAGACTTGAAACCTGAGATACTATAAAGCATTTTAGTTCAAAGATTTCTCATATATCTGAACAGCTTAGTCAGAATCCAGGCAGAATCTATATAAAAGCTTCAGAATGACTGGTTATAAATGTCTTTCATTTAGGATAGACAGTAATAATCAAAGTTATTAGTTTGATTGTTATTAACAATTTTAATATCTATTTGTATTTAAAAGTATTAATAGCCTGCATATTTAACCTTTGATCAGATTTACAATTTATTGGTAAAGTCATAGTTTTTTCTTTTTTGTTGAAGGACAGTGGAAACAAGAGCTTTCAGCTACAATTGTGTTCTATAATTAGGAGCTGTAGGAGAGCTGTAGAGGGAAAAGGAGCATGTTTTTTTTATGTGTTAGAATTTTTTATTTTTTTTTGTGAGGACTGTTAGTAAAGGTTTATTAAAGCATTTGCCAAGAAAACTTAAAGGTATAGTGGTGGGTGATCATCAAAATAAATAGTCCTCCTAATTGTCAATAATTCTGGTGATATGTTTACATAAGGCCGTCCTACGTGCTCGTCCCCATTTTCACTTTTTGTGGTGAGTCTGACATAGTGGAAAAATTGAAAATCTTCTTTTGGAAATTAAGCTTGTATGAGCGATGCAAACAGCAACTTATAAACAGAGCGTGCACGAGGAGAAATGAGCTTGTCCACGCTCTTGCACGGGTACAGGGTTGTGCATGTGCATTTTATTTTTCAAAGTGGAGAAAGTAGGTCTTCTCAAAAATTTGCGAAAATCCTAAACCAAACTATACATTTAAGCAGCACAAAATTTAGTGCATTTTTTGTTTTTTGTAAAATAAACTATTTCGGGTCTTTTTCTTTTTTGGGGAAAATGCGTGCCAGCCATGCTACTCCTGAGAATAGATTTAAAGGAACATATCAGAATTTTTTTACCTTCTAAAAACTCTGAATTCTGTTTTTAGGTTCATTATGTAACAACAAACTATGGTGTGGCAGCATTAAATAACACAACTGAATAGGGAATCATCATTCAATCACCTTTCGAAGGCGCTCAGGTGAGAACTCCAGTCCCACCACAAAAAGAGTGAAGAACACACCCAGCTCCCCCAGAGTCTCCACCTGAACTGGAGACTGGAGAAAGAAAAGCCGGTCAGGAATTTAATGTTTCTTTAAAGGTGGACCATTCTTAAGGAGCTGCAGTAATGAAGCGCTGACACAAACCTTGATACTGTTGAGGCCAGAAGGGCCGAGCAGGACGCCACAGATGATATATCCAAACATGGGAGGAAGACCCACCAGACTGCAAACCCAACCACAAGGCAGGGAGAGCATCACCACTGACACTAGGTCCTGCAAATGATGACGGTGAAGAACATCAAACCAAACATTGAAGCATTTCCACCTCTTCTGCAGCAAGGATAAAACCAGGAAATCCCAGGAAGGAGGAGCGAGCTAACCTTGATGAAGTGATGGTCTGCTCTCGGCATGGTGGAGTCCCGCGGTTTGGTCAGAACGTACTGGTTATTCTGGGAGTCAATCAGCATGCTAAGCCCCAAATCATCTTCCACCTCTTTCTGTGCTGATTTGTTCTTCGTTTTCCCTCCTTTTTCCTCATCCTCTTCCACTCTGAGGACTGCTTCCACATTCACTCCCTTCATCTACACAAAATGCAGAGCATATGCATATCCTTTGGTTCTGGATAAAACAACTCCTGAGTCGGCGCATGTTCTCTGAGATTTAGCAGCCTAATGAAACAGAACGTGTTCAGCTGCAGACCTGTTTGTTGTTGTCAAAGGCATGCTCCTCGATCTCCTCCTCTAGGCGGTCTGCGGCCTTCCTCACATCCTCCAAGATCTCCTCTAGGATAGTAAGAGTCTTGTTCTTGTCCAAAGCATTTTTAAGGGCTTCCTGCTGATGCTTCTCTGCAGCCACAAGCTCCATGTACTCCTGTTCTTCCTGAAAGGTGAAAAAAACCAATGTATTCACTACTAAACAGATCTAGAAATAAAAGCCCTTTCCATACAGTAAATTAAAGGTATAGAGGAGGATGTTCTTTTTCCAGGTTGATTATCAAAATAAGTGTTCCTCCTAATTGTCAATCATTCTGGTGATATGTTTACATAAGGCCGTCCTACGTGCTTGTCCCCATTTTCACTTACTGGGGGTGAGTCTGACATAGTGGAAAAATTGGAAAGTAATGCAAACAGTAACTTTTAAACAGAGCGTGCACGAGGAGAAATGGGCTCATGCATGCTCACATACACGTTTAATAGCCGTTCCCTCTTGGAAGTGGGTACAGGGTTGTGCATACGCATTTTATTTAATTTTTTTAAGTGGAGAGAATTTTCAAAAATTTGCAAATATCCTCCATTATACCTTTAATGTTTAAACAACTCAACCTAACCTACTGGAACACCAGATTCAGAAACATGTATTTAGGGACATAATTTGTTTACTGTCTTTGAAATGATGCTGCATCGCTGAAAATCCTTCATGTGAAATAAAAAAAAAATAAGAAAGATAAAGCTTCCTTTCAACTTTCATAAATAAATATCTAAAGCAAAATTATTTTTTTATTTTTATAAAGCGGAGAAACAATATTGCATCCTCGTATATATAACAAATTGAGAAATGTTTACATTTTTTTTTAGATGTTTGAGAGAATTTTTAGTTTTTTTAATATAAAAAAGCTGGCTCTAGCATTTACTATAAAGAAAATGTGACATGGCATTTTGCCTTTTTGCAAGTATAAGAGTTGTAGAACTCAGAGAGCTCAGGACTTAATTTCAGCAGCTGTTTTAATGAAAAACATTTGTATAATTGGGCCTATTTTCACTCATTTAGGATTTGGTTAAGGTTAACCACAAACAATGACTTTGTACTTGTGTTTGAATGATCCACAATCCATGCAGGTACCTTTATAGCTGCCTCTCTGAGGGCCTCCAGCCTCTGTCTGCTGCTCTCCTTCATATTGACCACATCCCTATAGTCTCCCTGCAGCACCCTCTGCAGGCCGTGCACTGCCTGGAACACCAGGTGCTCGCTTTCATTCAGCTCCTTTTGAAAAACCTCCAGAGTATGAACCTTAAAACAAATAAAAAAAGAACAAAAGAAGAGATTAAATTGTAAACTAGAAGTTATCATAACATGGGAAGTTTCACTACCAGGATATAAATTGATTCAATAGCAACAAATATTGCTTAAACTCATCAACATTCATAAAAGAGTAGTGGCCAGGGATTAATAAATACATTTGCTAAAATAATATGTTAATGCTTAAAAGGTTGATCGTTTTGATCAAAAATATCTATACTTAGACATGTTCTATGTTTAAAACACCACCCAATTTAAAGTAATCCTCACCTATTTTGCATACCCTAATGGAAAAGCAAATAAAGCTTTTTTATTCTTGAAAATAATAGCTCTTTTTTGAACAGCAGTAATAAAGACATGGTTCAGAATAGCCATGTCTCATTGCATTATATTTGTTCTACATTATGTCAACCACAGATGCAGATAATTTCAGGCCTTTAGCTACAACAGTTCCAGAGCTGTGGGGCTTTGAACTTTTAGTGTCCCCAGCATCTCCAAACTTCTCCAAATGTTCCAGATTGTGCCAAATTGTACCAAATGCTTTTACTCAACTATTTGACCCACAGAACAACACTGAAGCATTTTGATGGCCAAAAAAACATTTATGAAGCAAGTATTTTCCACTTTTTTTCAAAATCAGTGTATATAACAAAATTAAATATTTTTAAACCTAAAATAACATTAAAATGTATTTATAAAAAATAGTGTAACTGCTGCTTTTAAGGCTAAAATAAGCCCCAGTGCCTTTTCTGAGCTGTATTTTACTTTTTTGTTATCTTAGTCATTGTAATATAACAAAATCAACATCCAAACTTCAAAAATATCGTAGCGTTGTTAGTATTCAGCTTTGAAATGTGAGCACTGATCCAGTCTCATCAGTGTATTTCCCTCATACGCAAGCCGGTAACACGGCTCTGCTTTATGCAGCCCAGCCATGTCTACCCTTGTTTGAAATCTTATTTCATTGGCTACAAAGCCAAACAGCCCAGGTGGTCTTAACCAATAACAGCAAGACTCTATAAGGCGTAATATCGCTCTACTAGGTGCCTCATTGGCTGATAGGCAAGCTGCGCTTGTGAGACTTCATCGGCTGTTCCCGATTCAAATCGAGTCGTACAAAGATGCAGACACTTTTTTCTTGTACGTAAGAAGACGAAGTAAAGAAACATACCAAACATCGCGGGCTAACGTTTGAGGAAGTCTTATTAGCAAGATGGTAAACATTAGCTATGACCAGCTAACTTTTCTGATGTCAAAAAATGGCCGTTATGGGCGATTTTCTCATCATGGAATGTTTTTATTACAAATATTATGGATTATATTTAATCTCTGGACCCTTATGGATGATTGGAGTATAAACAATTGAAGTTTGGATTTATAAAACGGCTTATTGATGCCTTCAAATGTATGTAGTTTTGGCTGGTTTGTAATGTTTACATTTTGACATGTTGCTATATCTGTGTTAATTCTGCTTTAGTGTTCACTGTTTCCAAAAAATGAACTTGGTTGATTTGTGGAGAATCTAAGATTTCCAACGATGTCTAACATGTGTTTATCGGTACAAATTTTACCGTAGTAATTTTCATGCAGTATGAGTTATTAGTTAAACACTATAAAAACAGTCGCCAGCGATCGGGTGGGTTTTGAGAGGTTAAAAAAGTTCCTGGCTAAAGCTTGTTTTATATACCGTAATGTTAAAGTACCTTTATTTACAAGCAGTTCATATATTTAATAAATGTGTAAAGTTAATAAACAAGAGTTTCCAGAGAGAGCCCTGATTAGAGCTCTCAGTAGTTGTAATTTCATATAAAAACAGATTATCTTCTTCTCTATTACCTTTTCAAAAAAATATTATAACAGAAAAGTGTCCAATAATCCTCTTCCAGAACCGTATATTTAGTAACGATAAATATATTTTTAATCAGACATCCACAACAGGCAAATTCATTTAACCAAAAGCAAGAACAGTTATGTTCATGTAAAGAGCAATGCATGAATGGCACACACTACCAGACGGGAAGTAAAAACCAAAAACATTTAAGTCGGTATCAAAATATTTTCTATTCAATAAAGTGCTCTGAAATGTGTTTTGAAAGGACTTTAAATGCTTTGAAAGTAGACACTCTTGTGTAGAATGTAAGCAATGTTTCATCACATGTTTTTATGTGTACGTTTTAAATATTTTTAGTTTCCTCTTTTTTTTTGGATCCCAGGAAAAATAGTGACAACTTGTTGCGCTAGTGAGGATTCCATTTATAACCACACAAAGAGAACAGCTTTATAAGTTAGCTCCCAACTTAACGCTGAAGTTATTGACCTTTGACTCATTAAGTTCTCTACTGTCTACTTAGAGGTTTACCTTCCTGACTGTAAGGTATTCCTTCTTCTTCTTGTATAAAGTGGTGTGTATTTAAACAATAATAATAATTGCTGTCTAACAGGTAATCATCTAGGCTTAACTTTTGCTTCACATGGATGTGTGTTAACTCTGCTACACTACTTAGCTCTTTCCAAACCGCCTAGACTGTAATAAAGACCGAGTAGTTTTGAAAAGCTACAAATTAACCCTAAACAGCTTGAACACCTCATAACTCAAACATTATTGGGTTTTCAGCTGAGAATAAAACGGTCAACTGGTGTTTCATAGAGTGGTACCTGGAAGAGCTTCTCTGGCTCTGAAAGGTTTTGGTCTCTTCCAACAGCCTTTGCAGCTGCCGCCAGCTTGTGGATGACCACATTCTTCTGCCGCAGAAGACCCACCAGCAGCTTGCAGTTATTGGTCAGCCACCTGTGGCCGTGTACCGGCGTTTTGCTCTGGTAGAGCTTGATAGCATGCCGGGCCACCTGTTCCTTTGGCACCGCAGGGAGAGCCTCAGTCAGGGCGAGGCACAGCAGCCAGCACAATAGCTGCATCCAAACCACTTCACTAAGGTGAGGAGTTTGAGAAGAAATTCAGGAGCTGGAGGAGGAACGGAGTACTTAGATTTTAATATTAAATCCAGTAAAAAAAAAAGCTTACACTGGAATAGTTTTTCCAAAGTGATTACATGTTCAAAAAAATCTCTTAAGAGCTTTATCCTCTACCCCATGCAGTTACAAACAAAACATTATCATTTTAATTTTTATAATGTCAGCTACATTCTTTCGAAATGTCTTTGAGAAGGATATCCTGGTTGGTGTCTAAATGAAAGGTTATTAAGGAAACAGGCATTCTTAGAACAGAAGACCACTCTGACACACTGTAATAACTGGAAGCAAAACCACATGTTAGGTTGATGCATCAAGACAATTTCTCAGTGGCTGACTAGGAATATGGAACACTCTCAAGTTAGCCAAATATGAGAGATTTTTATTTGAACATTTGTGCTTTTACAGGATATGTTTTCAGACAGATTGCAGGATGTGGATACACACATTCTGCTATCTTATATTTACACTTTACCAAGGGTGTGGCTGCAACACAAATTATGGCAAATAGAGCAACAATGTGACAGAGCATGTCACATGTTAACATTCCTGCGCTACCTGTCTTTCTACTAATACCTTAGAGTTTCTATTTCTATTAAAAATCTGAAAAGAATTAAACATCAGATCATGTTTATGTTGATAGTTATCAATAAAATGTAGCTGAATGCATTGAACTCAGAGCTCAGCCTACCTTTGGCAGCATGAGTTAAACTTCCTCCTTTCCTTTGTTGCCACTCTGCTGGAGTTGCTAGAAATCAGGAACAACGCCGCTCAGACCTGGGCTGCAAATAAAAAAAAAAAAAGGAAAATCTGCAACACACAATCAGGTCATCAAAAGTGCTATTTGCTACATAAAATAGACCAATTGTAGTGTAAAAAAAAATCCACTTAAACACTGATGGATGCTTTTTCAACTAGTTTCTTCAAAATTCAAAAAGATTGAAGTTTATACTTCATTAACTGTGTTGATTGTTGAAGAAACTATATTTTGGCTTAGATTTACCATGTTGATTCTGCTATATACAAAAATATGTGGCAAAAAGACAAAACTGTATTAGAAGATGAAGAATTAATGTAAGTGATAAAGTTAAAGAATGCCTGCAGATTATTTGCCTCTTAAGCTTGGTACTACTGTCACACAAAGCAAAGGACTATCCTATTTCAATCCTGCTTTTCAGGATTTAAATAAAATCCTATTCTACTCCTTTAAGGTCTCTCAGAGTGTGGGTGTTTGTTAATCGAAGGGAAACAGAGACAAACTGAACAAACAACCAAGCTCAAACTAAGGACCAGTTATCCTATTTCCATGTTGTAACTAAAATTAATTGTTAATATTGGATGAATCTGTTATAGCAAATTAAATTTTGTTTTTTTCCCCCAAAAGTGTCTCTTTGGGATCTTGAACTAATGATTATCATAAAAAAACTGTAAAAGACCTATTTTTAAATAAAGGCTTCAAAATCCCAAACTATCTTTCAAAGAAAAGGCAATCCCAATTTTAATATATAAGGAGTTTTTCTTTACTGTAACTAGAACTGATCAAAACGAGTCCAGAATCCTAGAAAGCAGTTTTTTTTTTTTTTTTGCCTTGACAATGAAGTCCAACAGTTTAATTAAACATCCATGGTTCACATATGAAACCACCACGACACACAAAGTAAAACATGTCCTAAAAATAACATAAACATACCAGAATACGTCACAGTCGGTGAAAAAAAAAGGTCCATTAGTTTGGATGAAACTCCTAGTATAGTGAGTCCTGGATGTCTGCAGAGGAACAATCGTGTAGTTGTGCCCTCCCCTGCTCTGCCACATAGCTGAGTATCAGAGGCGCTCCCTGCTCTTACTTCATGTTTACTCCGACCTCCTCCAGCCCTGTCCAGCCATTGGTGTCGGAGCCCCTCAATTCAGCTCAGAGTGGAGATCAGAGGTATGTCAAACCTAACACCAATGTGCGTCACATTTACTTAAAGATGTATTTTCTCCTCTCTAATATGTACACAATATATCTTCTTCTTGTTAGTTTTCGGAGGTGTCAGTCCAGCTTTATCCAGCTGGGTTCACCTTCTCTCCAATAGTGACATAACCTCACCGCTGCTAACACGGTTTTTGCTAATAATAGCAAACAAACCTTTAGTGTTTTTAAACGACATATTCTCGGCAACGTAAAAAAAAATCACCTTAGATTAAACAACTTTTGCTTTGTGTTTCTGTCGCCTTTAGCTAAAAGTTTGATTCAACCGTCAGATTACTTCCGAAACATCTTTATCAGAGCTGATCTGGGAATTGTAGTTCTTAGAAATATCGGGTACTACTACTTCTTCTTCTTCTTCCTCAGCTTCTTCTTCTTCTTCTTCTTCTTGGTGAAATTTTTATAGTTGTTGGCAAAAACGTTAGGTGAGCATTACCGCCACCAACTGGCGGGTACTGCTCTGTCATAAGTACTTTAACTTGCCTCTGATTCTGGACTTACTCTTGTTCAACATGAGTTTACGGAATTATAACAATAATAAATAATTCCAAAAACTAGTACTCCATTGTACATAAAACATTTAGAATACAATAATTTTTTTTTTTTCTGTAGATTACTTAAAATACATTTTCGGTACATTAATTAAGCAGCAACCAAGTTATTTTTAAAGTGTTGTTCATTGTTGTAGACATTATTTTTTATACTACTTTCTAAAGTTTGTAGCCTGTTAAATTAACCGGGACTACATTTCCCATGATTCTAGTCTGGAACGCGTTGTTTGTTTGTTTTTTCTTGCGCATGCGCACTAATGCGATCTGGGATAGCAAGTTGACCAAAAACAGCTGGTGATAAAATGGTAGGTAATACTTAGAAAAATAAAACAAAGGGGCATCTGCAGAGCGATGAAGAAGATGACACCAAACAGCTGCCACTAATGTTTACGGTAAAGGGAGGTCGGGTCTGGTGGCATTTGGAGATCGGAGCTCTTTTGGTTTTTCAGTTTTCCTGTGCAGCTGCAGGTCAGGAGAACCTGTAGAGCTGAGCACAGACTTCCCACTGGAATCTGGGTCACCTGCTGTTTGATCATCCAATCAGTCAGGTCTGCGATCCTTATTAGATCACCAAAACATGACAGCATGATTGCTGTGCTGTTGTTTGAAAGTGACATCACTCCAGCTTAGAAGATTTTAGACTCTAACTTGATTTTTTTTTTTTCCTGCATGCAATGCTTAACTCTGAAACTTTTCTGAATGTTCAGATTTGGATAGAAATCATATATTTGCTCGGAGGTGTGGCTGGAAGTTAAAAAGCACTTTTATTTGAATGGAAGTTTCACATTCAAAGTAAAAAAAAATATTTCTTTTGGGTATTTATTTATTTATTTATTTAACGAGGTAACTCAACCAAATCACTGAAATACACAGTCTGCACAATAATTAAATTAATTACAACATGTTTTATAACAGGTGGTAACACTGCTACTTTGCAGCAACAAGGTTCTGGATTCGATTCCCAGCCCGGGGTCTTTCTGCATGGAGTTTGCATGTTCTCCCTGTGCATGTGCGGGTTCTCTCCGGGTACTCCGGCTTCCTCCCATGGTCCAAAAAAACAACAACAAGACTGTTAGTTAGGCACCAGCACCCCTCATGACACCAGCAGGGATAATAGTGACGGAAAATGGATGGATGGATGGATTATGCATCAGACCTCCTTTTTTGCTTTACTTCTTGTTTGCTTTACTTGTCAAATAAAGACAAAGCTGTTTTTGGACAAGCAAACTGATATAAACTGATATTTAGCCCCTTTCCTGTTTACTTGCAAAATTATCAAAATCACTTCAGTTTTTTTTTTTGGTTTTTGTTTTTTTTTAAATCAGTAGCTATTGCACTATTCTGTTAAAACGGTGCTTTTAGGAATTCTATGCTTATCCTTTTTTGTCTGTTTTAGTCACAATACCTTGTCATTGTTTGAAATGGCAAAGATTGTCTAAGATTTTTTTTAATGCTTCCAGACATCCATTAAAGGGAAAAAAAGGGTAAATGTTTTGGCTCTTAGTGTCCTTACCTACTGGCCTGGAATACAAAAATATCTAAGTATTTATTCCCTTATTTTTTTTATTTGTGTGACAGAACAAGCTGAAGGCATCCCAGAGGGATACGGTTCGTCGGTTTATCTCCTTCACGCAGGCAGGGGACAGGACAGCTGTGCAGTGCCTGACACAGAATGATTGGAAACTAGAAGTCGCCATAAACAACTATTTCCAGGATTCAGGTTTATACTACAGAGAATTCATGAAAACCTCAGTGGACCGCAAGAAGCTTGAACAGCTCTACAACAGATACAAAGGCAAGTTTTTAGCAGACATGTGTAAAAATCTGTCTATCTGTGTAGCTAAGATCACTTCGTCTCCTTTACAGACCCCCATGATGAGAATAAGATAGGCATCGATGGGATCCAGCAGTTCTGTGACGACCTAAACCTGGATCCAGCCAGCATCAGCATCCTGGTGGTGGCATGGAAGTTCAGAGCGGCCACGCAGTGCGAGTTCAGCAGGAAGGAGTTCTTTGATGGGATGGTGGAGCTCGGGTAAAAGTCATGAAAAGACAAATATTTAATACTTTTACACAGAGCTTATATTTAATCATATTATCCCTTTTATTTATCTTTATTTCTTTCAGATGTGATGGTCCAGAAAAGCTTAGAGCTATTCTCCCCAGGCTTGAACAGGAGTTAAAAGACACGGGCAAATTTAAAGACTTTTACCAGTTTACCTTCAGCTTTGCTAAGAACCCAGGCCAGAAAGGTTTAGGTAAGAAGATCATGTTAGAAACTATCCAAAAGTGTAAATCCAAAATACATTAACTTATAAATGATGTTTGTAGATCTAGAGATGGCTGTGGCCTACTGGAATCTAGTTCTTACAGGTCGTTTCAAGTTCTTGGATCTGTGGATCCGCTTCCTGCTGGTAAGTGTGGGACACCTTGTTTTCCAGTATCTAAGTTTGTGGATCTAGAGATGTTTTGGCTGCATTTTCCAACTAGACAGTGTCACTGTTAATCTAAATAAATATATCCACTAATTATTTCTCCCACAGAGCACTTGTTGGTTGTGTAAAAATGTAAAGATAAGCTTATTCGGTTCCTTTAACTTTTTTTAGGAGCATCACAAACGCTCAATTCCCAAAGACACCTGGAACCTCCTGTTGGACTTTGGCAACATGATCGCAGACGACATGTCAAACTACGATGAAGAAGGTGAGTCCAGAAGGATGGTCCCTGGTTTGAGATGCAGTATTTGAACAATCGTTCTATAACCTTGAGGGAAACCAGTGAAAAGGCAAAGGGACGCTGATGCTTTCACCTTCCCTGACACTTGTTTTTGTATTTCTCAATTAAAAAAAAGACCCTCAGAAAATCTAGATGGAAATGGACTAAAGATGGACTAGTTTAGCTTTTCCTGCCCCCTTTGTTTTATAAAATGAAAAATGTGATATGCACATTAATTTAACCTTTGACTTGTGTATCTCTAAAGGCCAGAACTCCTCAAATCCGATTTTGCGTCCGATCTGACAGAAAATCAAGTCGGACGAGGTTGTGGCGTTTAGCGCTCATTGAAAGTCAATGGGGATGATCACAAGGCACGATTTTACACAAGGGGGCTGCATAGGTCTGACTGAGATAGACCCCAGGTCTGATTTAGTTGGACTACGCAGCGAATTAGTGATTCAGCAGCAATTTCATGGGTCTGACAGGAAGAGAGGCGCAATTACGAAGTAAAACACATCTGCTTTGGAGGAAAATACAAAATAAAATCTGGGAAACAATCACTTTTTGGAGTTGCACGTCGCTTATATAGCAAGTTGGACACTCATGCAAAAACAATGAATAAAACATTAAAAAGGAGAATACTTTACCCATGTTAGGAGTTCAGCAGGATAGAAAACGGAAAAAGTAGTGATCCTCTTTGAGCCTCGCAAAAACTACAAGGGGCAGGCAGCGCAGTTTATCAATCTACTCGACAAAAAAAAAAAAACAACTTCAGGGGGAGAAAAAACTAATCCTCTTTGAGCCTCACAAAAAAAATAAATAAAAATATTGAGGGGCAGATAGATCTGGTAACCACGGTGTATCTCTCACCTATTAATGAAGAAAAGAAAGGAAAAACTTCAATAATCTTTACAGATCTCTCTCTGAGCATAGAAACCGGCCCACGGCATTTTTTGCTGCATTTTTCTTTTCTTTAGACGTAGATCTCATTTAGTTTTTAATATATGAACATTCTCCATCTGTCTGTCTAGGATTGGGGAGACAAAGGATGGCAACAGACAGGTCCAACCCTCTGTGCACATCTGACAGAGAACTGTTTAGCCTATGAACCCAAAACAGGAAGATTATGACAGGGATACTGCCTAGAGGTGACAGGAAGCTAAATACAGTTTAAAAAAAAAACTTATAAGGAGGATGCAAAAGATTTTAGCCTGTGGTTCACCTTTTAGCAGGAAAACAAACCTAAACATACAGCCACAGACCAAGGAGTAGTTGACATCAAAGCATATTCATTGGTTTAAATCCAAAGATCTCTTTCAAATTAAGAGTTTTTAACAATACTTGATGTGTATCAGCATCTCTGTCTATCTGACTTATTTGAGCTGTTTTTAAACTAAAATTAGCAGCAATATGTCTCCCTATATATGGAATTTAATGCATTTTTTCAGATTGATGTACAATTTAGAAAGTTCCTTATTTATTTGCAAGTCATTGCAATTTTTCCATAGGGTTCCTCATCCAATGAGTTAATTGCCAGCTCTAGATGTGAACTAATCCTTGTCCTTTCTGCCTTCTCCTCAGGTGCCTGGCCTGTGCTCATTGATGACTTTGTGGAGTTTGCTCGGCCAATTGTAGCAGGAAATAAACGCAACATGACGTAATATCTATTGCAGCTCTACTTTAAGGGGGGATGCTGTTCTCTGCCCTCCTGTTTTTTTTTCTATTTAATGAGATTTTGGTACAAAGTAGCATACAGAAAGTGTCTAAGCTTGTTGGTCTTCAGATTTCCAATAATTATTCTGCTGCATAAGATCCATTTGAGGGTAAAATGCAGAGAAAGAACAGGGAAAAGAGGGAACCGTTTTGTTTTTACTGTCAGCTGCTATGGGAAGATGCTGGAAGTTGAATCTAAAAAGGTAATGAGTAAAGCAATACTCGTCCCTTAGAATAGCAGCGGTGGTAGGTTTGGACGGCTTCTGTGGCCTCATTTAAACACAGGCTCAGCAAAGCAGGCAGCCTGGCTAAAAATTGGCTTTTAACTTCCCGTATTTGTGAATGAAACCGTGTCAAAGTTTGCCTGTTCTGTCAGGATGGCGTTTTTTAATGTCTTTGAGGTCATCACAGTATTAGCAGACAAGAGTGTGTGTGCTTGGGGGGTTTTACTGTGTGTTGTACAAGTGTGTTGGATGAAGGTAAAATGTTTCCTTCTGCACAAAATGGAACATCCTGGTTTTTGACTTAAGATGTCAGAATGTTTTATCTTCAGTGAGATATTGGATAGCTGATTTATATCCAGTCTGAGGACTGGGCAAAGCATCCAGTTTTCTATCTCAGCACCAGCATACAGATGTTGTTATAGTGATAAGAGACCAGTTCTCAATGAGATCATTCATATATATTGGAATCCAATTATTCCCTTACACAGCATTTTTAAAATAAAAATAAAAAGCTTTACATTGTTTAGTTCAGGCTGACTTTGCGGTGCCTTAGAGCTTGAATTTCAACCTCTATGTGGACTGGTTTCTGTTACCCAGGTGAAGCCTTGTCACCTCTACAAACTGCACTGATTTACACTTTTATTTTGTAGGGATTACAAGCATAGAGCTATTTCGTTTACATGACAGTGAACTTCGCCTTTTTTTAAGTCAGCCATGTAGAGCCAAGAGTACTTTAAATGTTTGTTTACACTGTTTGAGGAAGTGTGCACTGCCTCTTAATCAAAAGGTCTACAAGCTGTTGTGCTGTCATCTAGCTGTGGCTGAGGGTTATAGCATTATAATTGTACTGTAGGCTAATGCTAAATCAAAGACTTTATCTTTTAGCAGGTAAAACAACAATGTGTTATCAGAGTTACTGATAGTAAAACACAAAGCAAGCCTGCGTATGCTAAATGCAGCGTGCAGAGCTCAGGTAGCAGCCAATTCCAATTCCTGTTCTGGACATTTAGCTTCTTCTGCAGGTTGTCACCGCAACATAAACTTAGCCATACTGAGGATTATGCATTATGTTATGGCAGAGCAGCTATGCACCGTTAAAACAGCTCCTTTGGTTTAGATGAATAAGTTTGTTTTTAGAGTGGAGTTTGAGTGAAATTATAGAGATTAGTCCAAAGGATTATGTGTTAACTCCAGATTAAATCCAGATCAAGTGCCATGTTCTTCATCATATCAGCTGAGTGAGATCCAGTGAAACAGCGTTTTTTTTCTTTAAAAGATAAATGTAACTTATCTAGAGTTACATCTAGAGATACATGAAGTTATGAGTATCTGTTTGCAGTGTGAGCAGTATGTTAAATCAGCCGTACGTCATCGACTGTCAGCTGTTTGTTTTGCAGATTCATCTTATTAAAACAGTGTTAAATGTTGCCAGTATAAAAAACGCTGTTCATGGAACAAATCATTTCTCAGTTGTTTCATTCTTAATAATAAAAGATTAAGCCAACAAAGACTGCTGTTTGTTTGTTTTCACTAAAGCTGTAACAGCTTCAACACTTCTAGCATTAAAAAAACAAGGTTTAGAAGCATTTTTTTTGTCAATGATACACTATTTTTTTTTAAATTCAACCTAAACAAGTTCAGTTGAGCAAATCAAGATTTATTACACACCAAATTCAATTATTCATGTCCTAACTGACCCTGCTTTGTGTGTCTGTCATGAAGAGCGCATCCCAGCCAAAGCTTTTCCAACAAGCTTAGGATAATGAAATCTTCCAAAGGAACTTGGTTTTCTGAAGCACGAAGAGTTTCTTTCATCCTGCTGAATTCATGCGTCTGGTGTTCTCTAGATTTATATTTTTAGTTTCATGCTTTGGATTAAACGTAGTTTTATAACTTCGTCAAAACTATTTACAGACTTGTAGTCGAAGTACATTATTTTACATGATCTGCACGATGCAAGCCGTGCTGTGTTCAGGGAACATTGTGTGACCGTCTTATGCTGTATGCAAAAAAATTTTTCCATTGCAGCTCTAAAAGGAGAACAGGTGTCTGTTTAGGTCAAAGTTAGAAATGATGCAAATTACGCAAACAGGGAAGGTAAGGTAAAAAAAAAAAGCCCTATCTAACTGAACCAGCTGCTCCAACAGAGGGATGTCCAACATAATACCAGTTGTCTCTTATCAGTTTGCATTCTCGCTGCGTGTCGTCATCAGCTCTGCTGGTTAAGCTTTATCTTTAGAACAATGTCAAATCAGAAAAATATTTAACTTTATAAAACTTTATAAATTAGCAATGTGATCCCAGCAGCCCCTGAAAGAGTTTTTTTTTTTTTTTTAAATAAAAGTAGTTTATTAAAAGAAGGGGATCCTCTCTTTGGTCAGGTGAAACGTTGATAAGCTCCAGTGCCAGCTGCTGGACGTGTTTACACTCAAGGCCAGCAGCACATTAGCATCTCTTCCACTCTGTGTCCATCCCTGATTACTGCTCCACAGCCTGTCGTCCAGCTTTTAAGCTTCTGGACCACAGGGATTCCCTTTTTAGGAGATGCCTGAACACAGCTTAGCTCACCACTGCCCAACACAAAGAAGCTGCGGCTGATAACAGGTTGCTTTAATGTTGGCATGTGTGTGGTGAGGGTGGGCTGGTTCAGCCTTGCTACTTAAATTTAGTTTGGTTTAAAAAAATAAAGAGCTCTGAAGGTGGGAAGCAGAGCTGTGGTGTTTCAGAGATGGAGAAAATGGTTGGAGGAGTTTGAAAAAGTTCAAATCGTTTTTGTTTTTTATTCTGGTCTGCTCTCCGCTCCATGACTTCTACTGGGAAGTACTATAAGAGCTGCAATAAGATTCATCCAGGAGGGTATTTCTGTCTGAACAAGAGAAAACTCCAGCAACATGGAGAAGTTTAAAGCTGCCATGGTTCTCGGCGCAGTTGGTGATGCTTTGGGTTACAAGAAGGGTCGCTGGGAGAGCTGCACATCAGGCAAGAAGATCCAAGAGGAGCTGGCCTCTCTGGGGGGACTGGAGTCCCTTACGTTGGACCCTGAGAACTGGCCCCTGAGTGATGCAGTGCTGATGCACATGACTACAGCTGAAGCACTCATAACAGGTAGGTTAGAGATGAACTTCAATAGAAATAAATTGTTTTTGTTTGTATAACTACTGAGGAAACTTAGGAATTAAGTTCAAATACCTTTATGCCACTGCAATACCTTTTCCCATTGTGTCTTTCATGTACAGTACTTTAAATTACATTTAAAATAAGCTTACATTGCCTTACTAAAATTAACATCTTAATTTGCTGAACATTTATATACATCTTTACATGAAACCAAGACTTTGTCTTTTTTCTAAAGATATGCTTAATTGATAACTGCAAAATTGTCTCTATTTTGTAAGTCGCTTCGGGTAAAAGAGTCTGATAAATGCATAAACATAACAAATATTGATTAGAATAATATAAATGCATAGAGGCGAGTAGAGGACTCTAAAAATTTACTCAAGTAAGAGGAGAAGTATTTTCATATTTTCACTCAAGTAAAAAGTTATCAGCCAATAAATTCTTCAAGGGTTAAAAAGTGATTGGGGTAAAAAGGCAACTCTTGTACTTAGTAACTTCCATAACATCTGATTTAATGTTTTAAACATGATGCAAATTTACAATAAATATAGTTATCTGCAATTGATATTTAAAAAAAGAGATAAAAACATAACATTCAATAATTAACCAAAAATTTCAGGTGAAAGAAACATAAGATATTTTTTGACAAAAAATCTCTAATGTCATTATTGATAGTATGTTAAGTATGCAGGTGAGAATATTTTAAGTTCTTCCCTGTAACATGAAGTAGTAAACTGTTTGCTTTATTTCCACTCAAACTCCAAATGACATAGCAGATTCAGCAAACAGAAAATAACATTTAAAGAAAGAAGCTGGATTACAAAACAGAAGTCTCACTTAGACATTAACTGTAGGTGTTTGTCTCTCTAACAAGCTGGTTACTCATGATTGGTAGAGGACCCAAAATTTCCTAAATCCGCCCCTGTATATAAAGACACTTCCCTGCAGCCTGTTACCGAAAGGAGAGCTCAAAATGTCCAAAATAGACTTCTATTGAAAAGCCGACCTGTGAACAATGGAGGTTCAGTGGCCTCTATAATCTACTGGTATCATGTTTGGCTGCAAATCCCCTCTATAGGTAGTGACAGTGCTTCTAAGAAAAAATAGCGATGACATCTTTTGAGATTAGGAAGCCCTATTTAGCAGCAATCCAACATGGAGAGACACCAGCTGGCAGGAACAGGATGGAGAATGTACTTTTATGTCAGACTTTCAAAGTTCAGATACTGAAACATATTTTTCTAAGTCTACACTAAATAAAATGTTAAAATGTATTAAGATACAGCTAATAAATACATGTCAGGCTTTAAGCAGATACGTATTATAGACTGATGGGTAACATGGAAGCATTAGAAATGATGCAACTCAAACTACTTAACCACATAAGTGAAAGTTTTTAATTGAGAACTTGTAGACTCTATGTCTCTACAGAATTACTCCCATGCAAAGTTTACCAATAAAATGTTCAAGGACAAGTCAAAGTTTGCTGATGTGACATTGTTGTTTTTTTTCAACACAGGCATTCAGGTCCTAATCTGTGTTGTGGCAGAGAGCAGCTAAACTTAGCTCATCGCAGCACCACTTATCTTGCTCTGCATGCCAGTCATGAATGTCACAACCACTGTATGTGTGTCTATGTGTGTGTCCAGATTACTGGTGTCTGGAGGACCTGTACAGGGAAGCGGTGCGTCTCTATGTGGAAGCCATGGTCTCTCTCCAGGGACGAGCTCCTGATCCTGCAACCGTAGAGCCCTGCGTTCACCTTAAACCTCATAACTTCCTGCTCGCTTGGCATACTCCTTTCAATGAAAAGGGTAGATTAGGCTTAAGGAAGCATTTTTATTTCATATACCAAAAAGCAATATAGTAAAAATGTGCATCGGTGTCCAGGGTCTGGGTTTGGAGCAGCAGCCAAAGCCATGTGTGTCGGAATGAGATACTGGCAGCCTGAGAGACTGGATAACTTGGTGGAGGTCAGCATTGAGATTGGAAGAATGACCCATAACCATCCAACAGGTGATACGATGACCTCTTATAAAACTAGAAACCCAGTAATGACATGCTATTCATTGTGTTTGATATGTCTTCTTTTAGCTTAGAGTTCAGTTGCTCTAAAAGGCTCATGCTGATGAAGATTCTCAGTCATCCAGGTCATAGTCATGCCATCCATCCATCCATCCATCCATTTTCCGTCACATTTATCCCAAGCGGGGTGGCAAGGGGTGCTGGTGCCTATCTCCAGCTGGCAAGAGGCAGGGTACACCGTGCACAGTTTACCAGTCCATCGCAGGGATAGTCATTCCAAAAAAGTAAAAAAATAATCCACTGGACTTTGTTTTCCAAGTTTAAAGAAATTTCGCTTCCCATCTAGGAAGCTTTTTTCAATAAAAAATGTCAGAACTAGCAATGAGTTCCAGGCTTTATAGGGTAGCCCAAAAACAAACCCTTGTCTTGGCTTAGAAAACATGCAAATTGAACCGGAACCCCTGCCTGATGATGAGGATTATGATAGCGGCACGGAATCGACTGTATCGCTGCGTTGTATGTTTTTGAAGGCTGAAACCTAGGTCCACCCCCTCTGTTTAAGGCTCATAAAAAACATAAAAATGTCAGCATTGTCAATATAGTATAGAGATTTAGTCAATCAACCACATGTATTGACACAAACTTTGGTACAAACACCTGTTTTCAGCCGTCTTTTCTTATAATGCTTTGCAGGACAGGATCAAACTTCTTGGTCATACAGGGCCCCATGTCTTAGATAGTTCCCTACATGAACCTACATAAAACAAATGGAATATTTGTTCTTTTATGCACTCTTCTCAGCCTGACTGGTTTTCTGTGCATTCATCCTTTGTACTTTTGTCACAGTTCCAGTTGTTAAAACCTTTCTAATTAGCTCTTACTGTAGATATGGACATGACAAAAGTTATTTTTGTGTTGCCATATTCTGACATAAAACAACCAATATGCGCCTGGCTTTTGTGGCAGTCAGTGTTCAGTTTTATGTCCTATTTTGACTAGCATAGCAAAATGGGCTTCTGGGTCACTTTATATGTCATGAATTACTAATTAAAGGTTTCTAGACACTATAGAACATAAAGAATGAAGAACAAAAGGTCTGCATGGTGTATATTAATGGAGATATTTTACTATTTCTATTTACTCTTTATCATTAAATTAAACACATCAACAGTTTGAATTGCTAAAATCACTTATGGTGTCTTTCTTGCTCTCAGGCTTCCTTGGCTCCCTAACAACAGCGTTATTTGCATCCTTTGCAATCCAGGGGAAACCTCTTGTGACTTGGGGCCGTGAGCTCATGAAGGTCATCCCCCGTGCAGAGGAGTTCTGCAAGAAAACAATACGTCATATGGCAGGTTGGACTAAAGTTCACTTTACATCATTTGAACAATAAATCCTTGAAATTCAGCATCCAGATGAGTTATCACTGTGTGTCCTATATTTGTCTACAGAATATCAGGAAAATTGGTTTTATTTTGAAGCTAAATGGCAGTTTTACCTTGAAGAGCGAGAGATTGATAAGGATGGAAACAACAAACCATCATTTCCTGATGCTTATGATGCAGAAGAGACAGATAAAGCAAGTCCCTTGGTGCTTTTTTTTATAATTCAAAATCCAGATTAAACCCACTAAAATACAAGAGCAATTTTTTTTATTTTTTTTTTAAACAGATGTATAAGCGTTGGAGCTCAGAGGGTCGAGCAGGGCGCAGAGGTCATGATGCTCCCATGATCGCTTATGATGCACTTCTGGCTGCAGGAGGCGACTGGGCAGAGCTGTGTAAACGAGCCATGTTTCATGGAGGTGAGAAATTTGTTATCGCTTGTATATTATAAAGTGGTCTCTTATAATATTGCTTCTGACTTCCTGAGAGTTTTTATGGATTATTTAGACTTTAGCTTCATTTTATGATACTTCTGCACTGTATTGTAAAGGAGAAACTGCTGACACCATAAGTAGAGTATAACTGTTCTTAAATGTTGTTTTAGGTGAGAGTGAAGCCACAGGTCTAATCGCAGGCTGCCTCTATGGCCTCATGAATGGCATAAACCAGGTTCCTCTGAACCTCTACCGGGATTTGGATAAAAGAGAACACCTAGAGGAGCTGGGAGAGGCACTCTATAAGGCAGCATCTGCAGAGAAATGCACAGAAAAGTAATCCTCATCTTCACTGAGTTGAACCTACTGCTATCAGAGAAACTGAACGTGACGCCTCCCTGTTGGCCTGACACAACCCTCCCTCAGTCCCTGAGTACTATTACTGGACGTTCTGTCCTCTTTTCCCCTCTCACTCCTTTTCCCATTTTGATTTTTCTTTCTGGCTACTATCCACACATCTGTCATGATTTTTTTTTTATTACCGGTAAAAGGTCAAATTTTGTCTCACTAAAAAAGAATAACTGAGAAATATCAAAAGGGAGGAACTGAAATGACATTCTTCTTAAAATATCTCACACATGATTCATGTGTAGTTTACATAAATCTGGATATTTTGCTTTCTGTTTAAACTGTTTTACTTGCAAGTGACAGAGCTGTGGGGAAAGAAAAAAGCTCCTGCTTTTTTAACTTACAGTAACTTGGGGAAAGTAAAGGAGATCTTTACTTTCTCTGGGTGTTGCCCTTTTTTCTAAAGCTAACTGTTATTAATATGAAATTTAGAGAACATGCAATCAAGTCTAATTGCCTTACAGTTTGAGTAATCCTGCTTCAGCAGCTAGCTTCTGCTTAACTCCTTTCTTCTTCGAATGATAAAAAAGAATTTATACTATTTCCTCACAAATAAACCTTAGAGCTCTATATTTTGAATGGATGTGTTAAAAATGTATAAAACTGCTGTGATTGTCGAAGTGTGAAAGTGTCTCATTATGGTGTGAAGTCACACAGATTTGGGGTAAAATAAAAATGTATATATTTAAAAACAAATTATGCATCAAGGTACAATATTTTTTTGGGAATGATAACCTAATATACCAGGGTAGTCCAGTGCTGACACAATATCTAAAATCAAGGCATGTTTTTTATTCTACCATTCATACCGTACACTGCAATAACAATGCAGAAATAATTAAAAACTTCTTAAAGTAAGTGTATTTACCCTTAATTTGAGTAGGTAAATAAGAGGATATACCAATGGAGTGAATATTTTTACTCCTAAAATAAAATAATAATTAGATAATATGCACATGAAATAAGACAATCTAATTGTTTTTTTTATTATTTTACTTATAAATTCTCTTGTTCCATTGGCAAAGTCTCTAACTTACCTCCTAAATTCAAGAAAAATGCATTTGTTTTAAGAGAATAACTTATTGATATTTCAGTTTTTTTTACAGTGTACCTATTTGTTTCACACAAACTCAGGAGAAAAACATTAAAATAACAAAAGCATAATGCTCTGAAAAGCATCTGAAAACACATTCAAATACAAACTGAATCTTAAATCTCACACCATAATCACTCAACAGTGGTTTGAGAAATAGTTAATTAGTTAAACTCTTGAACCAAAAGCTGCAGTATGCATTTATGTTTCAGTCTAGATCCGTTTCTGCACATTTCAGGCTTCTGCATGGAGTTGTTGCACATATGAGGAGCATAGAAGCTAAATCTTGGCTCCTCCTGTTGATCCCTGGTCCTTGAATCTCTGAAGTGATTTATACCTGACCATGCAACTGAGAAATATATTTAGATCTTCGACCAATTAATACTTGTTCAAATGGTGACCAATTTCATTATTCGTTGCAACTTAAAACGGAAAAACAATAATTTCTGCTGTTAATAAAAATCCTAGCACACATTTTTTATTGTTGTTAGTTTAGCATAGTTTTGTTTTTGATACATGGACTAAACCAAAAATTTAATATACACAGACACATGCTAATTAAGATTGCATTTCTTTCTGTTATGCTCTAAATAGAGTCAAGATATAAAAAAAACTGGTCGGTGGAACTTTTATAAGGCTACATTTATTTTTCTTGTAAGCTTGAAAAATTCAGCCAGCTGACCTGCAAAGTGCAGCAACGTTTAGGGGAGGAGAGAGCAAGTGAGCTGCTACATCTCATCCAGACAGAGAAGACTCCGGTCACTTCGACTTTTACCCTGCTATCTTATTTAAAGGACTTTAGACTGCAGGGATAGAGTGACAGAAGATAGTGGCAGTGCTAAAAGCATAATCTTTTCAAACCTTTTGTTTACCTTGATAACCTATGCCTACTCAAAACAGGCTATACTGAATGACTGTCCTATTGTCTTCACATTATTTTTCAAGCATCCATTTTTATTTTAATGCTGAGTTCTTTGTCCTGATTTGCAGCTCCATACTACAGTTCAACGAAATGTAGTATGGAACATTTCATTAGCTTCAAATGTGACTTAAAACTAAAATTCTTGCTTTTGCTGCAGTAATAAAATCACTAATCAAACAGCGGGAGGGAGAGGGAGGATTTTTTCACTTGCAGATTGAAGTGAAAAAAGTAGATGAAGTCGGGAAACCTCTCTTTTGGAGTATTACAGATAAATAAAAACTCCATATTTTGCTTTATAGATTAATTCCCAAGTTGTTGTTAAGGATGTTGCTGTCAGTTTCAAGACGTCTTGCATCTCCTCTATTCTCTGTAGACCAGATTGTCGGAAAGCCGGAATCAACCCCGATGTTGGTGCGTTAAGGAGGCTAGTTAGAGACCCCAAATGCCGACCAGTCCTCCGAGGGATCTTTGAGAGTCTCCTGAATTATCTACTACAGGATCTGCTTGAGAGGACAAACAATCACACAAGGATGGAAATGCAAGAATCCGGCACTGTGTCCCAAATCCACGCAAGAAACACAGATAAACTGGATCTGCAGAGGGGGAAAAAGGCTCCAAAAGGCCTCCAAGTGGTCCAGCTATCAGAGAAAAGAGCAGCTGATCCCAAGACTTCTAAAAATTGCACAGCTGATCAAAGAGGAAACTTACCATCACGGCGCCTTACCACATTCCAACTCCTCCAATCTAAGTTCTTGAGGTCTTCCCCCAAACCCTATAACACCAACCAGAGAGAGGTAGGAACTCTGTCTTTTACCAGAGGAAGACCAGGTCGAGACAACCCTAATAATGACAGAAAACATAGCACTGACATTAGAGACAAAGGCTTAAAAAGATGTGGTAGTGTTAAAGAAATGGTGGCCAAGTTTGCCATGGCTGAGCAGAAACAACAGGGAGTGAAAACCCTGAAGAAAGAGCACCTCAAACCAAGACACATTGGAAGAGGGATCCTCCTAAACTCATTAATGACCAAATTTGAAAACATCGCTACTGTTTGTAAGAAAAGTGACTTTGCTTTATCTCATGAGAAGCCTGGTGTAGGAGACAGGGTTGCACCTAAAGTAAAAGAAGAAGCTGTCATTAAAAGAAAGAAACAACAGGTGTCTGACCCAGTGTTCAACAAACAGAGCCAATGGAAAAGAAATGAATGTAAATATACTGCGGATGACTCAACAAGTAATCAAATTAGAAGTGAAGAACCTGAAAGTCCAGATCCTGGGGCAGACATTTTAGCTGAAGGGAATTCAAACACAGAAGATGAGAGTCACATGAAAGCAGAGAACTTGGATCAAGAAGTTTGCTATTCATTACAACTAATGAAGGGTCAAGCTCACAATGTTGATGTGGAGGATAAAGGCCTTCAACAAGTCGGACAAATTCCTTTTACAGTCAACAAAGCTGAATTTCTTAAAAAAAGGGTCATGTTTGCAGATTTGAAGACAATCTCGTTAATGTCTGTGACTGAGTGGTCATTCCCACAACCCTGCAAAGTTCTTATTCAGGAGGAAATCCCTGTAAAGTGGCAAATAGTCACAATAATAACCTGCTCCCCTGCCTGGTCCACATGTGTGGATTCCTCTCCTCAACAATTGCTAAAGAAAATGGAATCTGAGATTTTAGAAAGTCAAACACAGGACAGGATGTCAAGGGAGACCACAGGGAATCTGTTGGACAACCTTAACTATTTATCCGGAGTATCAGCTGAAGGGGAATCCAGACAAATGGAGGCCAGCGCCACACCAAAAAGTGAGACGTATTCTTTGGAATATTCAAATGAGGACATAAATCTCCAAACACCAGATCCTATTCAAGGAGGGTTCTCCAAGTGTGTCATCCCATCCATTCACAGATCTAAAAATAGGGCAGATCAGATTGATTCAACCCCACAACCAGAAACAGTAACTAATCTTACCAAAAACCAGATATTACATTCATCTTTGAATCATCAAGGAAATGATGTGTCACGCTCAACAGAAGGTATCAAAGACAAGGAGTCATGCAGTCCTCATTCCATTAGTCACTCAGAGGTAACAATAAGGACACCACATGGTGAAGCTGAAGCAAAACACTCACCGGTCAATGAAGAGAGATATGATGATGGAAATCTGCCAGAAAAGAATAACACTGGAAAGCCAGGAAACTTTAGCCATTTGGACGAGGATCCATTTGCAGACGGTGAGGGTTCTGTGGTAGATCAGACTCAGCCTCAAAGACAAAATGCAAAACAAAAACCAAAGTACAAAACTATTAACTATGCAGATCCTACAGTGAAACAAACATATAAACCGAAAATAATACGATTCACGGATACCTTTACTTTCTAGTTTTAGCCATATGAGTAAAGAATGTGTTGAAGTTGGATAAATGCTGTTGTTTTGGAACAAACTTTCTCAGGCACTGAAATCTCTGGAATTTAGAAGAGCTGTGAACATTAAACATACTAAAAGTGAATAAATAAAAGAAAGCTACCTCAAACTTCCCAGTTGTATTCTGAGTACATAACAGAATGAAGTGTCCGGCAGGAAACACATGTTTAATTGTATGGTCTAACATTGCACATTTTATGATAGTATTATCCAGCCCCAAGTTATAATGCTTTAAAAGTAAAACAACTCCCTCCCATTGCTACCTAAATGCCACAGTGTATCAGATATCTAATGTAAGGCTGTTTACTAAGAATAAAGTATATTTGCTAATTTTCTGTGTGAAGGAAGTTACATAAACATGTCTATTAGAAACCTTTAAGCCGTGCCTAAATTGGAACAAAGTGAGACTTGTTCTCAGCAGATAAACACTTACACCACATAGCTAAACATGTCCGGAGCTGAATGTTCAGGAGCTCTACTCCATACAGTAATTGAACACCTGCAGGCAGGATCACACCACTGAAGATACCATATACTTTATTGACCCCAACAGGAAATTAACTATTTACAAACTATCATTAAACAGATTTCTTGTGTATCAACTTATTCTTGTATTCTAAAATCTGTGTTAGATTTTTTTTTTCTTTTCTTATCAGGTAGATTTGTAAGGCTGGACTTTGTGGCTGGAAATTTCTATTTAATTTCCTTAAATATATTGATTTATGAGATCTGATTTTGCATTTACTTTGTAAGGCCACACAATGTCTGAGAGGAGTTGCTGAATTGCTACATGTATTAAGGATTGTTTGGAACAGCAACTAATAATAATAATAATAATAATAATAGTTCCCATAACAGGCCACATTCTTTCTCCTCAAGGTTTATTCAACATATGAACTGTTTCCTAAAGTGTCTTTAAATTGTTTTGGTTAACTCTGAGGGGAAAAACTTCACAGCTCCTTTAATAAAATGCTGACTGAGTGAATTACCATCAAATTCCTTTATTTACCCGAATTGCATAGTTGAAAACTTTTTTCCTACAACAAATTTTAACAAATTGAGAAAATGTAAAATATAGAAGATCAACACCAAAAATCAGTCCATCCATCCATATTTCTAGGGTTTTGGTGGGGCTGGTGCCTTTCCAGCAGTATATAGGTGAGAGGAGGGGTACAGCCTGGACAGGTCGCCAGTCTGTCGCAGGGCAATACAGAGACACACACACACACCCAAGCATATACACGCACACACACACACACACCCACCCACACACACACACACACACACACACCTAAGGAGATTTAAGACAAATTAACAGTCATGTTTTCCAACTGTGGGAGGAAGCCGGAGTACCAGAAAGAACCAATGCGTGCACAGGGAGAACATGAAAAATCCATGCAGAGGGTCTTCCGGGAATCTAACCCGGAACCTTCATGCTGCAAGGCAGCAGTGCTACCCACTGTTTCACCGTGCAGCCCCAACAAAAAGCCATGCATTATATGTAAAAAAAATAAAAATAAAAAAAAAAATAAAAAGAATGTTTTATTGAACCAACTTTTAGTTCAGTGATCCAGTTTTCTCTTGAAAAATCCCACTTCCTTGATTGCCATTTTTGTAGCCTGATTGCATCTTTTGTACCTGGATCTCTTCATGTAATCTCTCAGATTTCATGTCAACTTTTATTTTGGAGTCTGTCTCATCACACTACTTTCCTTTCCTTTTGATTGCTCGATTGACTTTATCTTACTTTATTTGCACTTTGAAACTTAGAATTAGTGTTGCGCCGATGCCATTTTTTGGCCCCGATACCGATACCCGATACCTGGCTGTGCAGTATTGGCCGATACCAATACCATACCGATATCATCTGTTTAAAATGTATGTGTGTGTGTGTGTGTATGAGGAACTGCATACTGCCATCATGGCTTTGTCAAGCTGCTACCTACCTTTGTGAAGCAGAAAAAAAGACTAATACAAAGTGAATCCAGTAGAACTTTTTATTGCCTACCAGGAATGGGTGACAATAGCTGAATAAACTTATGGCTCTCAAAATGGTATCGGTGCCCTATTTGTTGGTACTCACCGATACCAATACCACCATTTTAGGGCAGTATCGGGGCTTCGCCCGATGCTGGTATCGGTATCGGTGCAACACTACTTAGAATCCTTCCAAACAATAAAACACACTTCTCTATCTTCAGCTCAAGGTTTATGGTTAAAAAAAAATCTTTTATTTAGAATGTTCATGATCTCATTCAGCTTAACCTAAATGTCGGTTCAATCTGAAGAAAAGGAACCCCAGAAAATGATACTGCACAACTGTGTTTCACTGATCATGGCTTTTGACAATTCACAGTTTTTGACAAATGGTTTGTGCCAAACCTATATTTTGAAATTATTGCAAAAGCTAGCTTCCTTAGACCTTAATGGATTCTTCCACTAGGTTAGGGAAATGTTTAGCCAGGCCTGAATGTTTACTTTGAAGAAAGAGAGATTATATTTGGAGCATAACCAGTGTGAAACCATAAATCCCTGTAGCTCATTTCAGACTAAGAATAGTATGCTGCAGAATCGCTAAACAGTTTCTCTGTTCTTCCATTTTTACTTGAGCTATCGCTGACTCTCTTCATTGTGCAATGGCATAGGAATAAAATGTTGTGTATCATTCTTTGTACCCTTCTTCTGGCTGATACTTTTGTATGATGACATGATTCAGATCCTTTGTAACTTTTCTGCAAACTATACCACAGAAAGTTCATCAGATTATTTAATTTATGGCTAATTTGTATCAAAAAGAAATGCATTGAATAATCAAACTGTGAATTATTTCAATCGGCTATATCTTTTTTTATTGTAAAATCTAACAGACTTTGTTGTTTTTCAGTTAATACAGATTTTTTTTTTTAATCATAAGTGGCCTTCCAACAGATATTGTCAGATACTTTTTTATTGTTAGCCTTGGATCCGATTTATGGCGTCACTGTTATTTATGTTGTTGTCTTATTTGTATCTGAACTGAAGTAAAAGTGCTGGGAAACATGCACCTGTGTCACATGAGGGTGAAAATATACACATCTTATCTGAGCAGTTTTAGAGTCATTTTGCAAAAATGTTAGAAAGCAATCTGTAGCTACTAAATAAAATACAGGAGATAGTAAATTTGTGACAAAATCTCCAGATTTTCTCTACATTGTATTGATCTGATTATATTACAAATAATATTTTTTAATATTATGTCAAGGTTGATGGTACAAAAAAGTTTCTGCTTTGGTTAAACTCCTCAACACTCTCCAACGAACTGTAGGTAAATAGCATGTTTCCTCAGCACACCTCAGGTTGCTTTGTTTACCTGTGCTTGAGTGGCTCAGTCGGAGAAGGCGAGACCATAGATACAATAAAAGCAGACACAGCATTGGCTCTCAGAGTGCATAAAATATGGCCGCCATCTTGGAACGGTCGTCCCACTGCCAAAGATGTATCATCGGCCACTTCTCCTACTTGCCCAAAAAAAATAATTCCACAAGGATGTCTCAGCAGCAGTGTGCAGCGTATTTGTGTTGTATGCCATTGCCTAACCAACAGACTGTTGACGTCAGAACTCGGAGGATGACCTTCAGCAAGTATGATGGACATATACTGTTTATATTTTGTGATAATGTTAATGTACTTATTTCCATCAGTGAAATGTCAGCTAATGTTACCATAATGATTGGTCCGTGCTAGCCATGATATGACTGGAAACCAAGATACCTAAAGTGTTGGTTAATCCCTACAGCTGATTAAGACTGACACAAGTCTACTTTAGAAATTATTATAAAAAATCTCCATAATAACGTTTAAAAGTAAATTCTACACCCATATAATCATGTAACTTTTCAACCTCTCTGATGTCTCATGTGATATATATAGATATATAGATATCTATATCTATATATATAGTTACATTGTTTTAAATATATAGTTATATATTTAAAGCTATATATACATA